CTTAGAGTAACTGGAGGTGAACCAGTCAACCCATCGAGATTTGAATAGATGAAATTGGCTGTGGGCAGCTCAATCATCAGAAAATTACTGGCTATATTTGGGGGACAAAGTTCATCAAAAGTACATCAAAAGATGAACAGAGGTCTTTAAGATGAAGTTTTTTGTATTTTTCCCAAATTTAAAAACGTACAAAACACTCTATTTTAGAAAATATACTACACATGTGACTCCTGACAACTCCAACAAGCTGATTTTAGCTATTCAGATGCTTGAAATTTCTGAGCTATTTATTCATACCAGAATAAATAAGTCACATGTACAAATGCAGCTTGGATGCAGTTGGTTTGGCAACTGACCAAATTATGCCTACATTGACATAATTAGAAATATTGAACCAAAGTCATAACTACAAAAAATACGAATGTAACAGACTCTAATGAAAGAGGCGATTAGTAAATTGTACAAACTCTTAGAGTAACTGGAGGTGAACCAGTCCCAACGGGATTTGAATAGATGAAATTGGCTGTAAGCAACTCAATCATCAGAAAATTACTGGCTATATTTGGGGGACAAAGGTCATCAAAAGTACATCAAAAGATGGACAGAGGTCTTTAAGATGAAGTTTTGTATTTTTCCCAAATTTAAAAATACATTTGAGGGGAAAAGTTTTTTTTGTACTTAGAAGTCACAGCTTCTTTTCATTAGTTATAACCTGCCCAACTCTTTATACACAGAAACAACGAAGGAATTTGTATAACTTAACTCTCTACAATTATGTGAAGCTTTGAAATGAGTACAAATGTTCTGTACTGTAATGTGCCTATTTTAATCTTGTTTCAGAACACGGAGTTTCAGCTGTGCAAGCTACAATATGGATTTGTCTGGATGGATGAATTATGAATAGCAGTAGTGATAGAGGAAGTTCTGGTGAGCCTCCTTCCCCTCCTTCCTTCTGCTTCTGAGCGTGAGCACCTTAACCTCCCTCACAGTACGTGAAGGATAAAAAAGGCTCTGCTAAATGAACAGTATTTGCAAAGCCAAGGCCAGCTCCGAGCACATTATATTTGGTTGATGCATAATGCAGTTGTATACGGACAATGAATCTGAAAAAAAAAAAAAAAGAAACTCTATATAAAGTAATTTGAGAAACTCTTTATGAAACTATTTGAACTGGAAAATGAGGAGCATTTTCGCTTGGAAATGGGCTGTAACAATATGAATGTGCAATGGTTTGAAGGCACCACAGCCATCACCACCAAATGAATATCCCTTTCTAAGCACCCAAGCAGGACTGATCACCCTTGGACCAAGACTTTCCTATAGATTTACATTAGTATGCAAGCTTTGTCTAATATATGGGAAGTGGAGGTGACTGTATATTTTTTTCCCCGTTTTCATCAATAAGAGAAATAATAAGAAAGTCTCTGCTCTGCAGTGTCTGCAGTCCACGTGAAGCTTAAGGCTACTTCTTGTAACAAAAATAAATTGTTCTTCTGAGTATTGTTTTTCTGAGCCTGCACGCAGAACTCACCATTCAGGAAAGTCTTTAAGTGATTTGTTCCCTTCTCTGGAGTATTTATGCTCAGGAATTGTGTTTGTTGTAGTAAAGTACACTGCTCTTACACTGCACATAATCACTGATACCACTGGGTATAATTACAAAAGCATAAATGTAAGAATGCTCAATGTCACAATGATATTTATTTTCATATTTCAAACATATAATTAAGAAATGTCTGTCTTTTTTACTCATGGCTTTTCTACTCACCAGGACATAAAAAGCATCAAACTGAAATCTCCAAGTGATTTTCAGCCTTCAACTTCAGGAGAGGTATCAGGATAAGACTATGGTTTAAAACAGATTCCTAAATTGCATCCAAGGAAATTTAATAAAACATTGCGTTAATCGCTTGAATGGTGCCATTTTAGCTATGAAAGTATGAGGGAAACAATTATGTACACCCGTCTAAGCAGCAGAAAGACACTTTAAAAGGCAGGAAAGACGTGATTCATCAGACAGGTGAATTAATTTGCTCGCAGAAGTACTAGGCAGAAACTTGCATATGCTTTTGCATTATTAAGAATTTTATATTTAGCACACAGGAATAATTTTCATTTTCTCATCATTCAGCTACTTAAGCCCTAAGCTATCAGGCAGATCATTTTACTTTTTTCTTAGGAAATAATTTGATCTCTTCCCAGCTTCCTCATACAGATAAATACAAAAATGCTGCTGTTACACTCAATTGCAGGGAAATCTTACACTCCAGTCCCAGAAAACCAAATAAATAAATCAGCAAAAATTTTAACCTAATGAAGAACTCTGCCTAATTTTGAAATGAACTGTGGCAGGATCTGTTTTTGCAGGATAGAATGCAGCGTTGTAATAGATATTAGCTTTTATTAGTGCTTCTTAAGTTTTAATTACATTAATCTTCTGTCTGTTGCCAGTGTATTTATGAAATATGAGACCATTACACCCAATAGGCTCATGCAAAAGAGTAGCAGTGACCTCTAGCTTTGTCTTTCAAGCAAACCTAAGGGAAACAAAACTTACTGAGCTTGACTGAGCCATGACATTTATGAAGCATCAGGACTTGGGTAAACAAGACTTAACAATGAGGATGCAAGCTGGATACATATAATTAGTTACAGAGGTTATATATCAGTGGCAGTATGTTCTGGCCACTGATTAACAACACTCGTGTCTGTTAAGGCCTTAGCGGGCTGCTCTGCTTTGGTAAATGGGTCTGTCGGGGGTTGGACGGGTCCATAAGGAATTAAATCCCGGGAAACCCGGGTCCGTTACTCTCCAACGGCCGCTCGCGCCCGCCCCGCCCACACAGGCGCGGCGGCCATTGAGCCCCGCCCCCTGTGCCGCAACGAGGGGGCCCCGCCCCTCCCC